ATATTCAATCTATTTCATGTGTGCAATACATGTGCAAAACGTGTGCAAAACATGTGCAATACGTGTGCAAAACATGTGCAATACATGTGCCATACTGTACGTGTGCAAAACATGTGCAATACGTGTGCCATACGTGTGCAATACATGTGCAATACATGTGCAATACATGTGCAATACGTGTGCCATACGTGTGCAATACATGTGCAATACATGTGCAATACATGTGCAATACGTGTGCCATACGTGTGCAATACGAGTGCAATACTGTTGGAATCTTTCTGTTTTGTCCCGAGGGCTGTGAACACGTTTCAGTTTTGAAAAAGGGAAGTGAACTCATGAGAAGAAAAGGTTTGAGTTTTGAAATGTAAAAATAAGTTTAAAAATGTTAAAAACGATTTCATTTTTTTCTTTTTGTTTAAACTTTGTCGTAACTCGGTTGTTTTTAGTTTCACACTGAGAGAATAAAACAGATTCTGTGATGGGAGACTGCCAGACACTTCCCCCATGAGCAAGAGTGGAGGGTGAGTGATGGGTCAGTCTGTCCCAGGGCAGCTGTGGCTCTGGGTTTAACATTCTGTTGTTTTGGGTTTTATCTAGAAACAGGAGACAGTGTCACTTTTATCTGGGAAAGAAAAATAAATAAAAAACCTGAAAATATTCCAAACATTTTCCAGAAAATGGAAAGAAAATTCAGGGATTTTTTTTTTCAAAGTTATAATTTTTTATGATTTTTATTTATTTATCTTTTTCAAATTGAATCTAAATTTATCTAAATTTGACAAAAACGAATCAACAAAAATGTAATAATTAATCGTGATGATTTTGAGAACTGAAAATGTTCCAAAAACTCAACATAAAGACTGTTTTTATTTTTCAAAATTCAAACATTTTTAGGACAATTTACCAAAAAAATAACGAAATCCCCCGTGTGTGTTTTTAGCTCTGACCTCGCTCTCGGTCTGTGTTTTTATTCCTGCTCTTTCCTGACGTTTACTTGAAGATAAAATGTAGAAATCAAAGAAGAACCGAGCACAAAACGCCAAAAGCAGAATTTAAAAATGTGCAGTTTTTTTCTGATTTTCGAGAAGCAGGTTTTTGTTTTTCGCCAAAGCTTCGACGCCTCAGTTTTCATGTGTTTCATGTATTTGTAACAAAAATGTCATTTATAATGTTTTTATTTCAGGACGAACGCTGCAGGAAAACCACAAACATGAGAAAAGATACAATTAACCTGTGCTGCCTCTGGGAAAAAACTACAAAACTCAGAAATTTTGGAGATTTATCATGAAAAAACCTCAGAAAAAACAGAGAAAGCCCTGTTTCCACCAGCTCTACGCTACACTATGCTACGCTACTACTACTCTAGGAAGCTACCCACAACAAACAAGTTGTGGGTAGCTCCTATCTCTCCCTCCTATCTCTCTCAGATCTTCTCTCTCTCCTCTCTTAGAGTAGAGTAGGGCTGGTGGAAACATGGCTGGAGATCTGATGGATTTCGGGACAAATTTCAAACCATAAATAATAAAAAATAATAAATGATTCAAACGCTGTGAGACGCATGATGCAGCTGCAGTACCATGTCCTGCCACCAGGGAAACCACAGCGCTGCTCTCTCAAACCCGAGCTCCAGAAAATGAGACGTTCTGTGTAGAGAAGTACCGCACTGATGAAGCCATATCTCATTCCTTCATAAAGAAAAACAAAAACACAGAAATGTAAATAGTTTTTCCTGCAGCGTTTGTCCCAAAAAGTGAAAAAGACGTTTGTTTCTGTTTCGACATGTGCCAAACATTAAAGATCAAATATTTACCGGAGTCTGAGGCTTTACTCTGAGACCGGAGAGAGACCTGAGAGAGACCAAAGAGAGACCAGAGAGAGAGACCAGAGGGAGACCAGAGAGACCAAAGAGAGACCAGAGAGAGACAGAAGAGAGACCAGAGAGACCAAAGAGAGACCAGAGAGAGACAGAAGAGAGACCAGAGAGACCAAAGAGAGACCAGATAGAGACAGAAGAGAGACCGGAGAGAGACCAGAGAGAGACTAGAGAGACCAGAGAGAGACTAGAGAGAGGCCAAAGAGAGAGACTAGAGAGAGGCCAGAGAGAGAGACTAGAGAGAGGCCAGAGAGAGAGACCAGAGAGAGACCAGAGAGAGAGACTAGAGAGAGACCAGAGAGAGACTAGAGAGAGGCTAGAGAGAGACCAGAGAGAGACCAGAGGGAGACTATAGAGAGAGGCCTGAGAGAGAGACCAAAGGGAGACTAGAAAGAGACCAGAGAGAGACCAGAAAGAGACACAGCAGTTTTCCTCTGACTATAAATGAAGGAAACATGTTATTATGTTCATATTATGTTATGTTATTAGGTGGAAAAAGCGTCATTTCAAAGAGATGCTTGAGCCTTTGACGTGGAGGAGCAGTGGCTCTGCTCCGAGCTTTTCCCATGTGGCAAGCTCCTCACCCTACTCCCTCTCCACTAATCTGCTTCCTGTTCTGTTCCCAGGAAATAAATATCCCATAGTTTGGAAAGGAGAGGTTTACACACGCTTGTCCAGCAGGGGGCGCCACACTCCACTCTTCAATAGAGAGAGTGGGGGGAGGAGAGGAGAGAAAGTATGGAGGGAGAGAAGAGAAAAGAAGAGAGAGAAGAGGAGAGAGGAGAATGACTAAAGGGGGTGAGAAAGAGTAGAGCAGAGAAGAGGTGAAGACTGGAGAGGGAGGAGAGGAGGAGGGAGGAGAGAGAGAGATGAGTGAGAGGAGAGGAGGAGAGGAGAGGAGAAAGAGGAGAAAAAAGAGAGAAGAGAAGAAGAGGAGGAGAGATAGAGAAAGGAGACTCCACAGCAAGACTAGCGTAACTACTTTAATATTTACAGTCTGGTCTGAAATGTCTTCCTGTGGACCTGCTGCCTCTCCTCAGACCTCTGAAGCGTCCTCTGTTTTAGCAGTGATGTGGTGTGCACGTGTTTGTCCAGCAGGAGGCGCCACGCACCAAGAGGAGAGAGGAGAGAAGAGGGGAGAGGAGAGAAGAGGGGAGAGGAGAGAAGAGGGGAGAGAGAGGGGAAACAAGGGGGGGGAGGAGTGAGGGGAGCAAAAATCCTCCAGTTCCTGGTGTGTGTGTGTGTGTGTGTGTGTTTGTGTGTTTTTGTGTAATGAGTTCTGTGCTGTGTTCAGATCATTAATCATGTTCTGTCTGGACTCACACTGAACTAACGAGCCTCTAATTACATGTTACACAAATCAAGGACACACACGCACACACACACACACACACATGCACACACACACACACACACACACACACACACACACACACACACACACACACACACACACACAGACACACACACACACACACACAAACAGACTTAAACTCAGCTTTTGTGGAGGAGGTGAGGGACAGGAGGTGCTAGCCAAAGCCACCTCCATCATGAACAACACCTCCCACTGCACAGGACTGTAGAGGAGCTGAGGAGCTCCTTCAGTGGAAGACTGAGGCACCCTCAGTGTAGGAAGGAGCGCTACCGCAGGGCCTTTATCCCCACCGCTGTCAGACTGTACAATAAGTCACTTTAAATGATCACTGTGTGAAAACCTGCACTACTATTGACATGTTTCCATTTGACACTTGTCACTTTTGTTGCACATAATTATTGTCACTTTATTGTACATATATATTCTGCGTGTAACATGTTTGCACATTTCCCCCTTTTGCACAATCTGAGTGTCTCTATCCATGCCAAATGTGACATGTACATTTCTCCTCTGTGAGATAAATAAAGCACATCTTATCTTATCTTATCTTTTCGCACAAAGGAAACTGTTGGACCCGAGAGTCTAAATATACGTTTTTATTTAACTTTTATCTTCTCTGTAATGAAACAGGAACATGTAGAGTTGTTGCTGACTTTGTTCCAAAAGGATTCAGGTCCAGGAGACTAACAATAACACATGTGATAACCATAGATACAAACTTCCCTAGAGCCCAGAGCCAGAGACCCGGGCTTTAGCTGTAGCTGCAGTAATGAGAGGTGAGCCCGGTCTTCTGCAGTGACTCTTCTTCTCTTCTGTTTCGCTCTCACAAAACGACCTCAAAGAAACCCTCTGTCAACACTTCTGCTCCAATCAGATGCTATCGCTCGCCCGCACAATGACAGAGAGAGATAGGATCTGTCCATATACTGGCCACACGCGAAGCTCTCTATTCCAGCTGCAGAGACAGGATCTAATCGTAATGAGATCTGAGGTAACAGCGACGTGTGTGTGCCTGTGTGTGTGTGTGTGTGTGTGTGTGTGTGTGTGTGTGTGTGTGAGAGAGAGAGGCCACATGAGCCCAAAGACCAGACCTCCCGAGTCAAACACATAATTCATATGTTTGTGATTTAAATACAGTATGAATGCGGTGATGAGGCATAGAGCTGTCCATGGTGCTGATCTCTGCTGGAGCCTGTTTAACCTGCTTAAGAGAGAGAGACCAGAGAGAGACCAGAGAGAGACCAGAGAGAGAGACCAGAGAGAGGCTAGAGTGAGACCAGAGAGAGACCAGAGAGAGACCAGACAGAGAGACCAGACAGAGAGACCAGAGAGAGGCCAGAAAGAGACCACTGAGTGAGACCAGAGAGAGAGAGACCTGAGAGAGACTAGAATGAGAACAGATATAGAGAGACCAGAGAGAGGCCAGAGTGAGAACAGATAGAGAAGTGAGCCAATTCATTTGTTGTGTCTAGCTTACTCATGTATTTTCTCTTTGAGAACTTGGTTCTTTTGTACACACAAGATGGACGTTTATGTTCTCTGTAAACGTAAGATGGCGGCTCTTCAGAGACGCACGTTCCTCTAGTGTCACATGACGTCACACATTTCACTCTGCTCTGGAGCGCGTGTCTTGCTCCGCGCGCTTCACTTCGCCGCGCACGCCAGGCTGGACTGGTCCTGGTCTCTGGTCTCTGGTCTGGTCTGTGGATCCTGTGGACTCTCTGGTCCTGGACTCTCCGGACTCTGTGGACTATGAAGGAGAGGACCATGAATATGGATTTGTTTGCGATTCTGGTCCAGCTGTTTGTCCTTGTGCGCACAGGTGAGTGAGACCTGGTCTGAACCTTGAGGTCTGACTTGAGGTCTGACTTGAGGTCTAACTTGAAGTCTGAGACCTGGTCTGAACCAGGTCTGAGCCAGGTTTGAACCAGGACTGAGTCAGGTTTGAACCAGTTCTAAGGCAGGTCCGGACTAGATGAATAGCCGATGCTGAACCAGGTCTATGACAGATCTGACCCAGGTCTGATCCAGGTCTGAATTAAGTCTAAGCCTGGTCTGAACCAGGTTTGAACCAGGTCAGATCCAGGTCTGAACCAAGTCTGACTTGGGCATTAACCAGGACTAATCCAGGTCTGAACCTGGTCTGCACCAGGACTGAACTAAGTCTGACCCAAGTCTGAATAAGGACTAAACCACGTGTGACCCGTGAATAAACCAGGTCTGAACCAGGACTATCCAGTGCTGAAGTTCTCACACGTGTCTTGTGTTTCCCAGAGCTGCTGACGTCATGAAATTATCATTTTTTCGTGAATTACAATATTTTTTCTGTGAAATCTGTAAAAATTAAAAAACGAAAACACTCTGACTCTAAACGTGAGTCCAGTTTGAATCACAACACTGTCCCCGCCCCCTTTTAACCGACTAATGATCGACAGTGTGTGTATTATGCAAATGAGCAACAAGGCTCTGGTTTAACTGTTTTAGACCTGCTTTAGTCCTGCTTTAGACCTGCTTTAGACCTGCGTTAGACCTGCTGTAGACCTGCTTTAGACCTGCTTTAGACCTGCCTTAGACCTGCTTTAGACCTGCTTTAGACCTGCTTTAGACCTGCTTTAGACCTGCTTTAGACCTGCTTTAGTCCTGCTTTAGTCCTGCTTTAGACCTGCTTTAGACCTGCTTTAGACCTGCTGTAGACCTGCTTTAGACCTGCTTTAGACCTGCTTTAGACCTGCTTTAGACCTGCTTTAGTCCTGCTTTAGTCCTGCTTTAGTCCTGCTTTAGACCTGCTTTAGTCCTGCTTTAGACCTGCTGTAGACCTGCTTTAGTCCTGCTTTAGACCTGCTTTAGACCTGCTTTAGACCTGCTTTAGACCTGCTTTAGTCCTGCTTTAGACCTGCTTTAGACCTGCTTTAGACCTGCTTTAGACCTGCTTTAGACCTGCTTTAGACCTGCTTTAGACCTGCTTTAGTTTTAGACCTGCTTTAGACCTGCTTTAGACCTGCTTTAGACCTGCTTTAGACCTGCTTTAGTCCTGCTTTAGACCTACTTTAGTACTGCTTCAGACCGACCTGGTTCTGACCCGGTCTCTGTCCACAGCTCAGGGCTCAGATCTGGATTATACGATGGACATATTACAGGACTTGGACCGGTCTCACTCCATACATGGGATCACAGAAGTCTCCGGTCTCCACAACGAGTCCAAGGCCTTTCTCTTCAGAGGTGAGTTGAAGACCTCATCCGGACCAAGACCAGACCAAGACCAGATCCAGACCCGGACCAAGACCAGACCCAGAACAGTGTGTATGAGAATGGACCGAGCAGACTCATTTCTGAGGAGCTATAGCTTTAGACCTGCTTTAGACCTGCTTTAGTCCTGCTTTAGTCTTGAAGCAGATCCTGGCCCAGGTTCTGTGTCTAGTCTTGGGTCTAGTCTTGGGTCTGGTCTTGGGTCTGGTCTTGGGTCTGGTCATGTGTTCTGATGGTATCATAAACATATTACAATCATTATGCTAATGAGGGATCTATTCATCTTCTCTCTCTCCTCTCTCTCCTCTCCTCTCCTCTCTCCTCTCCTCTCTCCTCTCTCTCTCCCTCTCCTCTCCTCTCCTCTCTCTCTCCTCTCTCTCCTCTCTGCTCTCTCCTCTCTCTCTTCTCTCTCTCCTCTCTGCTCTCTCCTCTCTCTCTCCTCCTCTCTCCTCTCTCTCTCCTTCTCTCTCCTCCTCTCTCCTCTCCTCTCTCCTCTCCTCTCTCTCCTCTCTCTGCTCTCTCCTCTCTCTCTTCTCTCTCTCCTCTCTGCTCTCTCCTCTCTCTCTCCTCTCTCTCTCTCTCTCTCTCTCCTTCTCTCTCCTCCTCTCTCCTCTCCTCTCTCCTCTCCTCTCTCTCCTCCTCTCTCTCTTCTCTCTCCTTCTCTCTCTCTCTCTCTCTCTCTCTCTCTCTCTCTCTCTCTCTCTCTCTCTCCCTCTCCTCTCCTCTCCTCTCTCTCTCTCTCTCTCTCCTCTCTGCTCTCTCCTCTCTCTCTCCTCCTCTCTCCTCTCTCTCTCCTTCTCTCTCCTCCTCTCTCCTCTCCTCTCTCCTCTCCTCTCTCTCCTCTCTCTCTCCTCCTCTCTCTCCTCTCTCTCCTTCTCTCTCCTCTCTCTCTCCTCTCTCTCTCCTCTCTCTCTCCTTCTCTCTCCTCCTCTCTCCTCTCCTCTCTCTCTCTCTCCTCTCTCTCCTCTCCTCTCTCCTCTCGCTCTCCTTCTCTCTCCTCTCTCTTCTCTCTCTCCTCTCCTCTCCTCTCTCCTCTCTCTCCTCTCTCTCTCCTCTCTCTCCTTCTCTCTCCTCTCTCTCCTCTCTCTCCTCTCTCTCCTCTCTCTCTCCTCCTCTCTCCTCTCTCTCCTCTCTTCGCTCCTCCTCTCTCTCTCTCTCTCTCCTCTCTCTCCTTCTCTCTCCTCTCTCTCCTCTCTCTCCTCTCTCTCTCCTCCTCTCTCCTCTCTCTCCTCTCTTCGCTCCTCCTCTCTCCTCTCTCTCCTCTGTCTCTCCTCTTCCCCTCTGTCCTTGGATGACCTCATTTGTATTATTGTGTCGTTGCTGTGCTCTGCTGCCCTGGGAAACAAACGCACACACACACACACACACACACACACACACACACAGACACATGCACAGACACACACACACACACACAGACACACACACACACACACACACACACAGACACACACACACACACACACGCACACAGACACACACACACACGCATACACACACACACACACACGTTCACACACACACACACACGTACACACACACACATACACACACACACACAGGACATGTGCTATATAAATACATTTGTTTAAACAGTATTTCCTGAAAGCAGAAGTTCTGCTCCTGACGCTATTTTTATCCTCAGTGTCTGCTCTCAGCCCAGAGGAGACTCCCTGTGGGGGAGAGAGGAGGCCTGGGGGAGAGAGGAGGCCTGGGGGAGAGGAGGCCTGGGGGAGAGAGGCCTCCTTTCTATCCTCTCCTCCTCTCTCTCCTCTCTCTCCTCCCATCTCTCCTCCTCTCTCTCCTCCTCTCTCTCCTCCCCTCCTCTCTCTCCTCCTCTCTCTCCTCTCCTCTCTCCTCCTCTCTCTCCTCTCCTCCTCCTCTCCTCCTCTCTCTCCTCTCCTCCTCTCTCCTCCTCTCTCCTCTCCTCTCTCCTCCTCTCTCTCCTCCTCTCTCTCTCCTCCTCTCTCTCCTCCTCTCTCTCCTCTCCTCCTCTCTCTCTCTCCTCCTCTCTCTCCTCTCTCTCCTCCTCTCTCTCCTCTCTCTCCTCCTCTCTCTCTCTCTCTCTCCTCTCTCTCTCTCTCCTCTCTCTCTCTCTCTCTCTCCTCCCCTCTCTCCTCCTCTCTCTCCTCCTCTCTCTCCTCTCCTCCTCTCTCTCTCTCCTCTCCCCTCTCCTCCTCTCTCCTCCTCTCTCTCCTCTCCTCCTCTCTCTCCTCTCCTCCTCCTCTCTCTCTCCTCTCTCCTCCCCTCCTCTATCTCCTCTCCTCCTCTCTCTCTCTCCTCGCTCCTCTCTTCTCTCTCCTCTCTCTCTCTCCTCCTCCTCTCTCCTGTTTGGTATGACATGTGTGTACTCTCTCCCTCAGACATGTCTCGCTCCTTGCTCCTGCCACCTCCTCTCTCCTCGCGCCTCAAACACATGTTCAGAGGGAAATCTGACTTCACCTTTTTAGCCACAGTTCAACAGAAGACGTCCACCTCCGGAGTTCTCTTCTCCATCCACGACACAGAGAAAAGGTGAGGGACCAGAGTGTGACCAGAGTGAGACCAGAGTGAGACCAGAGTGAGACCAGAGTGTGACCAGAGTGTGACCAGAGTGTGACCAGAGTGTGACCAGAGTAAGACCAGAGTGTGACCAGAGTGAGACCAGAGTGAGACCAGAGTGTGACCAGAATGTGACCAGAGTGTGACCAGAGTGAGACCAGAGTGTGACCAGAGTGTGACCAGAGTGTGACCAGAGTGTGACCAGAGTAAGACCAGAGTGTGACCAGAGAGAGACCAGAGTGAGACCAGAGTGAGACCAGAGTGTGACCAGAGTGAGACCAGAGTAAGACCAGAGTAAGACCAGAGTGTGACCAGAGTGTGACCAGAGTGTGACCAGAGTAAGACCAGAGTGTGACCAGAGAGAGACCAGAGTGAGACCAGAGTGTGACCAGAATGTGACCAGAGTGTGACCAGAGAGAGACCAGAGTGAGACCAGAGTGTGACCAGAATGTGACCAGAGTGAGTGACCAGAGCGAGACCAGAGAGTGGTCAGAGTGTGACCGGAGAGAGTCCAGAGAGAGACCAGAGAGAGACCAGAGAGAGACCAGAGAGAGACCAGAGTGTGATCAGAGTGTGACCGGAGAGAGTCCAGAGAGAGACCAGAGAGAGACCAGAGAGAGACCAGAGAGAGACCAGAGTGTGATCAGAGTGAGACCAGAGTGAGACCAGAGTGTGACCAGAGAGAGACCAGAGAGAGACCAGAGAGAGACCAGAGTATGACCAGAGAGAGACCAGAGTGACTTGTGTGTAACAGAACCGTCTTCCTCTGAGCCTCAGTCTTTAAGTGTTAGAGATGAAAGACGGGTTAGAGGCCCTATCCAGTCCTCCTCCTCCTGCTCCTCTTCCTCTGTGTCCTCCTGCTCTCCGTCCCCCTCCTCCTCCTCCTCCTCCTCCTCCTCCTCCTCCTCTGTGGAGGTGACCTACATACACTCAGTCTGTTTCACACGTGTCCCGCGTTCATCGTCTGGGGTTTTATTTCAGAAACAGCGACCTCCCGTTTAATCTGTGTTTAAAGAGGAGAGAGGAGGAGAGAGGAGAGAGAGCGAGAAGAGGAGAGGAGGAGAGAGGAGAAAGCACTGTATTGAGAACAGAATCAGAGTCAATTTTAGCTGCTGCTGATCCCTCGTTAGGACTCGTGCTGGTCTCAGTTTGATGTGTTGGTTTCGACAAACGGTGAACTCCTCAACCCTCACTGTCTGCTCCGTCTGTCAGTCTCACACCTCTGAACATACAATATAGCTCTCTCTCTGGTCTCTCTCTGGTCTCTCTTTGGTCTCTCTCTGGTCTCTCTCTGGTCCCTCTCTGGTCTCTCTCTGGTCTCTCTCTGGTCTCTCTGGTCCCTCTTTGGTCTCTCTTTGGTCTCTCTCTGGTCTCTCTCTGGTCCCTCTCTGGTCTCTCTTTGGTCTCTCTTTGGTCTCTCTTTGGTCTCTCTCTGGTCTCTCTCTGGTCCCTCTCTGGTCTCTCTCTGGTCTCTCTCTGGTCTCTCTCTGGTCTCTCTCTGGTCTATCTCTGGTCTCTCTCTGGTCTCTCTCTGGTCTCTCTCTGGTCTCTCTTTGGTCTCTCTTTGGTCTCTCTCTGGTCCCTCTCTGGTCTCTCTTTGGTCTCTCTTTGGTCTCTCTTTGGTCTCTCTCTGGTCTCTCTCTGGTCCCTCTCTGGTCTCTCTCTGGTCTCTCTTTGGTCTCTCTCTGGTCTCTCTCTGGTCTCTCTCTGGTCTCTCTCTGGTCTCTCTTTGGTCTCTCTCTGGTCTCTCTTTGGTCTCTCTCTGGTCTCTCTCTGGTCTCTCTCTGGTCACACTCTGGTCACACTCTGGTCACACTCTGGTCTCACTCTGGTCTCACTCTGGTCTCACTCTGGTCTCTCTCTGGTCTCTCTCTGGTCTCTCTCCGGTCTCTCTCTGGTTTCTCTTTGGTCTCTCTCTGGTCTCACTCTGGTCTCCCTTTTCTCTCTCTCTGGTCTCTCTCCGGTCTCTCTCCGGTCTCTCTTTGGTCTCTCTCTGGTCTCTCTCTGGTCTCACTCTGGTCTCTCTCTGGTCTCTCTCTGGTCTCTCTCTCTGTGATGTCACATGTTGCTTGTTCACTACATTATGAATTTAAGTGTTTACATCAAGACTAAAGCAGGTCTAAAGCAGGTCTTAAGCAGGTCTACAGCAGGACTAAAGCAGGACTAAAGCAGGTCTAAAGCAGGTCTACAGCAGGACTAAAGCAGGTCTAAAGCAGGACTAAAGCAGGTCTAAAGCAGGACTAAAGCAGGTCTAAAGCAGGTCTAAAGCAGCACTAAAGCAGGTCTAAAGCAGGACTAAAGCAGGTCTAAAGCAGGACTAAAGCAGGTCTAAAGCAGGTCTAAAGCAGGACTAAATCATGTCTAAATCATGTCTAAATCAGGTCTAAATCCGGACTAAACCAGGACTGGACTGGGTCTCGGTCTGTCTCGTATTCAGGTCAGATGTATTTTTAGAGTCGACAGATCTTTCATTCACGGCTTTGGCTCAAACCAAATCTCAGACCGGACTCGGATAAATTTAGTTTAAATTATACCCAGAGACCTGAAGCCAGTCTAAGTTTGGTCCTAAAGTTGGTCTATCCCTGGTCTAACCTTGGTCCAGAGGAGTGGGATCCGTTAGGAGCTGGTCTTTAATTTCCTACAGAGAGATTTTACTGGTCCAAACCTGGTCTAAACCTGGTCTAAACCTGGTCTAAACTTGGTCTAAACTTGGTCTAAACCTGGTCTGACCCTGGTCTAACCCTGGTCTAACTCTGGTCTAACCCTGGTCTAACCCTGGTCTCTTGGTCCCCAGCTGGTTCGAGCTCCAGAGTTCTGGTATCCGGGAGGAGCTGGTGTTCCGGTACTGTCACCGGGGCCAGACCCGCTCGGAGCCCCTCCCCTACAGACTGGCGGACGGACGGTGGCACCATGTGGCTCTGACCGTGTCCAGCAAACACCTGCAGCTGCACGTGGACTGCAACAGGTCGGTACCACCATGTGTATCTGGTACCACTCATGTATAGGGCACAGGGATTAAAGAGTTCCGTCTAAGTGACGGATTTCCGTCAAATGAAATTGGTCTGAAAAAAAACTAAATATATAATAATAATATAATACACACAATGAAATGGTTAATTATAACAAAATATATAGTAATACGTGTGAATCTGTTGTATATATCTAGATATATATTAATAATTTGAATATAATTGTATTTATATGTATATAGAAATAAAAAGTAATATAATCACGAGTGGGCCTTGAACGTGCCGTGGCTAGCTACATGAGCGCTCCGTAAATGATTCAAGGCAGTGGGACGTAGCTGACCTCACGGCAAATGAAGACGCAGCCAAGTTAGCGATGGTAACACGGAGGTGAAAGTTTCTGAAAAGTGCACGGAGCTTTTGAAAAGGAGAAGAGGAGAAGGAAAATGTAATCCCGAACGGAGCAATAACAGCCAGCCGCCCGCGGACCGGTAAACTGGGCGCGTTATCAGAGGAAAGGTAGGACATAATTAACGTTTACCAAACGCAATGCTTTTTTATTTAACGGAATGTACAATATGTACTTTGCTGTGACTGGGAATGGGGACAAGCTTGTCTTGGTGAGCTTTTGATAATATCTTGGTGGCGATCCCCATACAAAACTCTGCGTGATAAAAAGAGCCAATCAACGAGAGCGAACGGAAAGAAACTCGCTGAAGAAAGGTGTGTGTTAGCAGGTCTTATATTCATTCATCAAAGCTAGCCTAGCCATTCACGCACAATCACAATCATGGATCGTTGTTTATGGAAGAAGGAGCAGTATAAGTTGCTGTTGATAACAGTGAAAAATAAATGGAGGTGGGCATGGCTGGATGAGGTGGAGACGATGGGATTCTGTTGCTTCATGGTGCAAAAAGATGAAGGTGTCCGGTGCTTGTTCGTACTTCGCTATTATTATTTTTTTATATGGGAGTAATGAGAAAACAGCTTTGGATTCACCACCAGCTCAAAACTGCCGCACTTGGCAGCTGTCCGTGCACTTTCCCACACTTCTTTACCTGGTGCATCAGATTCAGCGACAACTGAGACTAGGCTTGCTCTGGTGGACTGTGTCTGTGACCTAAAACTATCTGTGGCTTTATCGCAGAAAATAACCTGTCGTTCAGAACCATCACTACCGCTGGTAGATTTAATTAGCATTAATCATTTGCAGTTGATAAAAAAAACTGCGCTGTGCACTAGCACCAAGTTGATAGGGAAACCTTTTTCTTAAACATTGAGTGTCCACAAACAAATGTGGACAGAGTTTTGAATGTCCTTTTGCGATATTTTGACGAGGACAGAGCCAAAGGACAACGCCTCATCTCGCCTCAAGTAAAGCCAATGATGCAGATGAACTACTCTCACTAATATTCTGTCAAAGAGTTGACAAGTTGCTTGATCCACTGGTTGAAATTTCACATCAAAATACACCAGTTTAAATGTATATCTTTGAAGAATTCGTTTGATCTGTAATTCATTATATTTCCATGAGAAAATTTTCAGTCAAATCTTTTTTTTTTTGCTTTAACCCCTGGTATAGGGCACTGCCTGTGTATCTGGTACCACCTGTTTACCTGGTACCACCTGTGTATCTGGTACCAACGGTGTATCTGGTACCACCTGTTTACCCGGTACCACCTGTGTATCTGGTACTTCCTGTGTATCTGGTACCACCTGTGTATCTGGTACCACCTGTTTACCCGGTACCACCTGTGTATCTGGTACTTCCTGTGTATCTGGTACCACCTGTGTATCTGGTACCACCTGTGTATCTGGTACCACCTGTGTATCTGGTACCACCTGTTTACCCGGTACCACCTGTGTATCTGGTACTTCCTGTGTATCTGGTACCAACGGTGTATCTGGTACCACCTGTTTACCCGGTACCAACGGTGTATCTGGTACCAACTGTGTGTCTGGTACCACCTGTGTAATCAAACATCCCTGTGAGTCACTATTTGACTCTTCGGGCTGAGAGCTGATTGGCTGAGAGCAGATTGGCTGAGAGCAGATTGACTGAAGGCTGATTGGCTGAGAGCTGATTGGCTGAGGAGAGAGGAGGAGAGAGAGGAGGAGAGAGGAGAGAGAGGAGAGAGAGGAGGAGAGAGGAGGAGAGAGGAGAGAGAGGAGAGAGAGGAGGAGAGAGGAGGAGAGAGGGGAAAGAGGGTAGAGAGGGTAGAGAGGAGAGAGCGGAGAGCCACTCTCCACAGACAGATCAGTCTCAGTTTTGTTGCTCTCTGACTTTGATCCTGCTCTGGAGCTGTCTCTCACAGGGTTCTATCTCCATCAACAAAGACTCACACTGAGGAGGGGGAGAGACCTGCTTTATTTTTTCTCTAGTCCTGCTTTAGACCTGCTTTAGTCCTGCTTTAGTCCTGCTCTAGACCTGCTTTAGACCTGCTTTAGTCCTGCTTTAGTCCTGCTTTAGTCCTGCTTTAGTCCTGCTTTAGACCTGCTTTAGTCCTGCTTTAGACCTGCTTTAGACCTGCTTTAGACCAGCTTTAGTCCTGCTTTAGACCGGCCTTTAGTCCTGCTTTAGACCTGCTTTTAGACCTGCTTTGTGTCCTGCTTTAGACCTGCTTTAGTCCTGCTTTAAACTTGCCTTAGACCTGCTTTAGAACCTGCTTTAGTCCTGCTTTAGACCTGCTTTAGACCTGCTTTAGTCCTGCTTTAGTCCTGCTTTAGACCTGCTTTAGTCCTGCTTTAGACCTGCTTTAGACCTGCTTTAGTCCTGCTTTAGACCTGCTTTAGACCTGCTTTAGTCCTGCTTTAGACCTGCTTTAGACCTGCTTTAGTCCTGCTTTAGTCCTGCTTTAGACCTGCTTTAGTCCTGCTTTAGTCCTGCTTTAGTCCTGCTGTAGCCCTGCTCTAGACCTGCTTTAGACCTGCTTTAGTCCTGCTTTAGTCCTGCTCTAGACCTGCTTTAGACCTGCTTTAGTCCTGCTTTAGTCCTGCTCTAGACCTGCTTTAGACCTGCTTTAGTCCTGCTTTAGTCCTGCTTTAGTCCTGCTTTAGTCCTGCTTTAGACCTGCTTTAGTCCTGCTTTAGACCTGCTTTAGACCTGCTTTAGACCTGCTTTAGTCCTGCTTTAGACCTGCTTTAGTCCTGCTTTAGACCTGCTTTAGACCTGCTTTAGTCCTGCTTTAGTCCTGCTTTAGTCCTGCTTTAGACCTGCTTTAGACCTGCTTTAGACCTGCTTTAGTCCTGCTTTAGACCTGCTTTAGTCCTGCTTTAGTCCTGCTTTAGACCTGCTTTAGTCCTGCTTTAGACCTGCTTTAGTCCTGCTTTAGTCCTGCTTTAGTCCTGCTTTAGACCTGCTTTAGACCTGCTTTAGTCCTGCTTTAGTCCTGCTTTAGACCTGCTTTAGACCTGCTTTAGTCCTGCTTTAGACCTGCTTTAGTCCTGCTTTAGTCCTGCTTTAGTCCTGCTTTAGACCTGCTTTAGTCCTGCTTTAGTCCTGCTTTAGACCTGCTTTAGTCCTGCTTTAGACCTGCTTTAGTCCTGCTTTAGTCCTGCTTAAGACCTGCTTTAGACCTGCTTTAGTCCTGCTTTAGTCCTGCTTTAGACCTGCTTTAGACCTGGTTTAGACCTGCTTTAGACCTGTTTTAGACCTGCTTTAGCCCTGCTTTAGATCTGTTTTAGACATGGTTTAGACCTGCTTTAGTCCTGCTTTAGTCCTGCATTAGACCTGCTTTAGACCTGCTTTAGAGCTGCTTTAGTCCTCTTTAGACCTGCTTTAGTCCTACTTTAGTCCTGCTTTAGACCTGCTTTAGTCCTGCTTTAGACCTGCTTTAGTCCTGCTTTAGACCTGCTTTAGTCCTGCTTTAGACCTGCTTTAGTCCTGCTTTAGACCTGCTTTAGTCCTGCTTTAGTCCTGCTTTAGACCTGCTTTAGACCTGCTTTAGTCCTGCTTTAGACCTGCTTTAGACCTGCTTTAGTCTGGCTTTAGACCTGCTTTAGTCCTGCTTTAGAGCTGCTTTAGTCCTGCTTTAGACCTGTTTTAGACCTGGTTTAGACCTGCTTTAGACCTGCTTTAGCCCTGCTTTAGACCTGTTTTAGACCTGGTTTAGACCTGCTTTAGACCTGCTTTAGCCCTGCTTTAGTCCTGCTTTAGACCTGCTTTAGACCTGCTTTAGATCTGCTTCAGACATGCTTTAGCCCTGCTTTAGAGCTGCTTTAGTCCTCCTTTAGACCTGCTTTAGACCTGCTTTAGCCCTGCTTTAGACCTGTTTTAGACCTGGTTTAGACCTGCTTTAGACCTGCTTTAGCCCTGCTTTAGTCCTGCTTTAGACCTGCTTTAGACCTGCTTTAGATCTGCTTCAGACATGCTTTAGCCCTGCTTTAGAGCTGCTTTAGTCCTCCTTTAGACCTGCTTTAGTCCTGCTTTAGTCCTGCTTTAGACCTGCCCTAGTCCTGCTTTAGTCCTGCTTAATACCTGCTTTAGACCTGCTTTAGTCCTGCTTTAGTCCTGCTTTAGACCTGCTTTAGACCTGCTTTAGCCCTACTTTAGTCCTACTTTAGTCCTGCTTTAGACCTGCTTTAGTCCTGCTTCAGACCTGCTTTAGTCCTGCTTCAGACCTGCTTTAGTCCTGCTTTAGTCCTGCTTCAGACCTGCTTTAGTCCTCCTTTAGACCTGTTTTAGACCTGGTTTAGACCTGGTTTAGACCTGGTTTAGACCTGCTTTAGCCCTGCTTTAGACCTGTTTTAGACCTGGTTTAGACCTGCTTTAGACCTGCTTTAGCCCTGCTTTAGACCTGTTTTAGACCTGGTTTAGACCTGCTTTAGACCTGCTCTTTCTCTTTCCAGTCTAAATTCTGACTCTTACAGACACCATCCATTAAAGCAGCGGCCGCAGGATTTACTGAGACAATCCCAAGTTTATTTACCCGCACAGAGGGAGAGAGAGAGGGGGAGGGGAGAGAGGGAGACCAGAGAGAGAGACCAGAGAGAGACCAGAGAAAGCCCAGAGAGAGACCAGAGAGAGACCAGAGAGAGAGACCAGAGAGAGAGATCAGAGAGAGACCAGAGAAAGCCCAGAGAGAGACCAGAGAGAGACCAGAGAGAGACCAGAGAGATAGACCAGAGAAAGACCAGAGAGAGAGACCAGAGAGAGAGACCAGAGAGAGACCAGAGAGAGACCAGAGAGAGACCAGAGAGAGACCAGAGAGAGACCAGAGAGAGACCAGAGAGAGAGACCAGAGAAAGACCAGAGAGAGAGACCAGAGAAAGACCAGAGAAAGACCAGAGAGAGAGACCAGAGAGAGACCAGGGGCAGACAATCAAGACACTGGAACAAGACAGGAAGTAAATCTAAAGTCAAAAAAGACAATAAGAATTAGTTTTCTTTTTGTTTCTTCTGTTCTTTTCATGAATAAGAATAAATACATAAATAAAATAATTTGAATAATAATTTCCAGGTTTCCTTAGCAACTACCCCAGCAACAAACTCAGGCCATTGGGTCAAATGCCCATAAAAGGAACCGTGCCCAGCTAGCTCAAGGCTAACAGTCTGGTGATGTCACACTTGGTCCGTCCTCCATTTTCTTTTTTCCCGCCGTGACCTGAGGTGGTGTTTTCTCTCTTCCAGGATTTACGAACGTCTGATCGACCCTCCTCAGACCAACCTGCCCCGGGGCAGCGAGGTGTGGCTGGGGCAGCACGGCCACAAGCACGGCCTCTTCAAGGTCAGTCTGCTCCACATGAGTCTGGTCCGGTTTGGTCCACATGAGTCTGGTTCAGAATCAGAATCAGAATCAGAATCATTTTTATTGCCACGTAAGTAACAGGAGGTCACAGACTAGGAAATTGCTTTGGCTCAGTGCAACAGTCAAAAAGAGATAATAAAAATAAGAATAAAAAACACTTCTAAAGAATACATTTAAATTTAAAATAGAGTTACAGTTACTATTTACAATATAAAAGTGCACATGGTGCACACAATGTAAGGTGACAGCAGTACAGTGAAGTAAAGTGACATATGATGGGCAGTAAAGTGACTTTATAAAGGGCGGGGGGACAGGTTAAGAAGTGTTCAAGAGTCCAACAGCAGAGGGGAAGAAACTGTTCTTGTGGCGGGAGGTTCTAGTCCTGATGGACCGCAGTCTCCTGCCTGAGGGGAGTGGTTGGAATAGTCCATGTGCAGGTGAGAGGGGTCGGCTGTGATACGACCAGCCCGGCCTCGAGCTCGGGCGACGTACAGGTCCTGCAGCGATGGAAGGCTGCGGCCGATCACTTCCTCTGCAGAGCGCACAATGCGCTGTAGTCTCTGTTTGTCCCTGACTGTGGCTCCAGCGAACCACACGGTGACGGAGGAGGTGATGGAGGAGGTGATGGAGGAGGTGATGGAGGAGGTGAGGATGGACTCGATGATGGCCGTGTAGAACTGTACCAACATCTGTGCAGGCAGCTTGGCTTTCCTGAGCTGCCGCAGGAAGTACATCCTCTGCTGGGCCTTCTTGATGAGGGAGCTGATGGTCGGCTCCCACTTGAGGTCCTGGGTGATGGTGGTGCCCAGGAAACGGAAGGACTCCACAGAGATGATGGGGGAGTCCATCACGGAGGGTGGGGGTGGGGGGACAGTGCTCTTCCTGAAGTCCACAATCATCTCCACTGTCTTCTGGGCGTTCAGCTCCAGGTTGTTACCACTGCACCAGGACACCAGCCGGTCCACCTCCCTCCTGTAGGCGGACTCATCGTTGTTGGAGACGAGTCCAATGAGGGTGGTGTCGTCCGCGAACTTGATCAGCTTCACGGAGTCGTGGCTGGAGGTGCAGTGGTTGGTGTACAGGGAGAAGAGCAGGGGAGAAAGAACACAGCCCTGTGGGGCTCCTGTATTTATAATCCGAGAGTCCGAGACATTCTTCCCCAGACGCACTCGCTGCTTCCTGTCCGTCAGGAAGTCAGTGATCCACCTGCAGGTGGAATCGGGCACGTTGAGCTGGGAGAGCTTGTCCTGGAGCAGGGATGGCAGGATTGTGTTGAAGGCAGAGCTGAAGTCCACGAACAGGACCCTGGCGTAGGTCCCCGGGGAGTCCAGGTGCTGTAGGATGTGGTGGAGGGCCAGGTTAATGGCGTCGTATACAGATCTGTTGGCTCTGTAGGCGAACTGCAGGGGGTCCAGGAGGGGGGAGGTGAGGGACTTGAGATGGGAGAGGACCAGGCGTTCAAATGACTTCATGACGACAGACGTAAGTGCTACAGGTCTGTAGTCATTGAGTCCTGTGATCCTGGGCTTCTTCGGGACGGGGACAATGATGGAGGATTTGAAGCAGGCCGGGACATGGCAGGACTGCAGAGAGGTGTTGAAAATGTCCGTGAACACAGGAGTAAGCTCACTGGCGCAGTGTCTCAGAGTGGCCGGAGACACGTGGTCCGGGCCAGGAGCTTTGCGGGGGTGCAGCCTCAGGAAGAGTTGTTTAATCTCTTTAGCGGCTATTGTTAGGCTGGGGGCAGGGCTGATGGGTGGGTCGTTAGAGTAGTGGGGGGTGGGAGAGGTGTCAGGGGCAGCATCAAAGCGACTGAAAAATAAGTTCAGATCGTCAGCTAGCTTGTGGTCGTCAGCACAGGGGGGGGCTTTGGGTTTGTAGTTGGTGATCTCCCGTAGGCCCCTCCAGACAGAAGCAGTATCGTTGTTACCAAACTGCTCCTGTAGTCGTTCTCTGTGCCGGGACTTGGCTGCTTTCAGTTCTCTCCTGAACTGATATTTAGCTGCTTTGTAGCCGCTGTGGTCCCCCTCCCTGAAAGCAGACTCCTTTGCTTTCCTGAGCTGCCGGAGTTTAGCAGTGAACCAGGGTTTGTCGTTGTTATAGATGACCCTGGTCCTTGTTGGAATGATGCTATCCTCGCAGAAGTGAATGTATGACGTCACAGTGTCCGTGTATTCATCCAAACTATCTGTGGCAGCTCTGAAAAGGTCCCAGTCTGTAGATTCCATGCCATGCGCGCAGCTCTTCCACAGCTTCATCAGACCACACTTTGGAGCTCCTCATTGCAGGTTTCGAGAGCTTTAGTCTCTGTCTGTAAGCAGGAACCAGATGTATCATGGAGTGATCTGAGAAGCCGAGGGCTGGCTTGGGAACAGCGCGAAAAGCTCCGCGCACGGTGGTGTAACAGTGATCCAGAGTGTTCTCCTCTCTGGTCGGGCATTTGATAAACTGTCTGTATTTGGGTAATTCCTGGCTCAAGTTTCCCTTATTAAAATCCCCCAGGATAATAATCAGAGAGTCCGGGTATAAGCGTTCCATACACAGTACTTGCTCTGCGAGTGCGCGCTGAGCCTCGCGCGCGTCCGCGCATGGCGGTATGTAAACAGAGGCAAGAATGAATGAAACAATTTCGCGCGGGGAGTAATATGGTTTACAATGAATGAAAAGATATTCCAGAGCAGGAGAGCAGTGCTTGGAGATCACTGTCACATCGTTACACCAGTTTGTATTGACGTAGAAACACAGCCCTCCGCCTCTGCTCTTCCCTGAGAGCGCACAATGGCGATCCGCGCGGAACAGCCCAAAGCCCTGCAGCTCCAGAGCGCAGTCCGGGATCCGCTCATTTAGCCAGGTCTCAGTGAAGCAGAGGACACAGGATGTGGCGAAGTCCTTGTTTCTTCTCATGAGCAGGCTGAGTTCGTCCATCTTATTGCCCAGTGAGCGTACGTTGGAGAGAAAAATGCCGGGGAGAGCCGTGCGCTCCTCTCCTCCTAAGACGCACGAGCAGGCCTCCGCGCTTTCCCCTTTTACGGGCCCACACTTTTTTGGCTAGAACATGAACTAAATCAGCCGCAGATGCCAAGAAAACAGGCAATAGGTCCGTGGGAACGGTGGGTCGGATGTTCATAAGTTCCTCACGGGTGTAGGAACAGCCAGATGCACAGTTAAAAAGTAAAAACAAAAGAAAAAGAGAGCAGCAAAGAGCCATGTCGACCGTACGAGGCGCCATCTTTGTAGCTAAAGGTCTGGTCAGTCTGGTCCACATGAGTCTGGTCCGGTCTGGTCCACATGATTCTGGTCCAGTCTGGTCCACATGAGTCTGGTGCAGTCTGGTCCACATGAGTCTGGTCCAGTTTGGTCCGTTCTGGTCCACGTGAGTCTGGTTCAGTCTTGTCCGGTCTGGTTTGTTCTGGTCCACAAGAGTCTGGTTCATTCTGGTCCAGTCTGGTCTGGTTTGGTCCTCATGAATCTGGTCCAGTCTGGTCCGGTCTGTTCCACATGGTTCTGGTCCAGTCTGGTCCGGTCTGGTCCACATGAGTCTGGTCCGGTCTGGTCCGGTCTGGTCCACATGAGTCTGGTCCAGTTGTGATCACTTCTCTCTTCCTTCCTGCACAGGGGCTGATGCAGGATGTCAAGTTTGTTTTTGCTCCGAACGGATTTGTCGCTCAGTGTCCAAACCTGAACCGCAGTAAGTCCTGGTCTTGATCTAGTCTTGGTCCAGTCTTGGTCCAGTCTTGGTCCAGTCTTGGTCCAGTCTTGGTCCAGTCTTGGTCCGGTCTGACCTGGTCCTTCTGTCTTCAGCGTGTCCCACCTGCAGTGACTTCCTCAGTCTGGTTCAGGGGATCATGGACCTTCAGGACCTGCTCTCCAAGATGTCACTGAAGGTAAGTCCACTTCAGACCCCTTCAGACCCCTTCAGACCCCTTCAGACCCCTTCAGACCCCTTCAGACCCCCTCAGACCCCTTTAGACCCCTTCAGACCCCTTCAGACCCCCTCAGACCCCTTCAGACCCCCTCAGACCCCTTTAGACCCCTTCAGACCCCTTCAGACCCCCTCAGACCCCTTCAGACTCCTTTAGACCCCTTCAGACTCTTTCAGACCCCTTTAGACCACTTTAGACCCCTTCAGACTCCTTCAGACCCCTTTAGACCCCTTTAGACGGAGCAGAAGGAGGAACAGAAGGAGCAGCAGACAGAGCAGAAGGAGGAGCAGACAGAGCAGAAGGAGGAGCAGACAGAGCAGAAGGAGGAGCAGACAGAGCAGAAGGAGGAACAGACAGAGCAGAAGGACTTGAAGCAGCATGAGGAGTAGAAGGAGCAGAAGGAGGTGCAGCAGGAGGAGGCGCAGCAGGAGGAGCAGTATGTGAGGAGGTGTGGTCTGTGCAGTTGTCTGTCGCTGAGTCTCAGATTGAAAACTGTGGATGTGAGAAACGCTGCAGCGTCAACGGCGTTTTCTACAGAGAGGGTCAGAGGTGGGCGGAGCCTGAGGCCTGCAGGACCTGTCTGTGCACGGTGAGTCCTGGGCGGGCTATGGCACTTTAGAGCTGGGCTACGGCACTTTAGAGCTGGGCTACGGCACTTTAGAGCTGGGCTACGGCACTTTAGAGCTGGGCTACGGCACTTTAGAGCTGCGCTACGGCACTTTAGAGCTGGGCTACGGCACTTTAGAGCTGCGCTACGGCACTTTAGAGCTTGGCTACAGCACTTTAGAGCTGCGCTACGGCACTTTAGAGCTGCGCTACGGCACTTTAGAGCTGGGTATGGCACTTTAGAGCTGCGCTACGGCACTTTAGAGCTGGGATACGGCACTTTAGAGCTGCGCTACGGCACTTTAGAGCTGGGTACGGCACTTTAGAGCTGGGTACGGCACTTTAGAGCTGGGCTACGGTACTTTAGAGCTGGGCTACGGCACTTTAGAGCTGCGCTACGGCACTTTAGAGCTTGGCTACGGCACTTTAGAGCTGCGCTACGGCACTTTAGAGCTGGGCTACGGCACTTTAGAGCTGCGCTACGGCACTTTAGAGCTTGGCTACAGCACTTTAGAGCTGCGCTACGGCACTTTAGAGCTGCGCTACGGCACTTTAGAGCTGGATATGGCACTTTAGAGCTGCGCTACGGCACTTTAGAGCTGGGATACGGCACTTTAGAGCTGCGCTACGGCACTTTAGAGCTGGGATACGGCACTTTAGAGCTGCGCTACGGCACTTTAGAGCTGCGCTACGGCACTTTAGAGCTGGGCTAAATCACTTTAAAGCTGGAGTACGTCACTTTATTATTTTCTTTCAAGACGATGTACAAAGTACCGTACCGAATATGAAAAAAGGATCTATTCTTTGTACATTTCTTTAATAATACAATAATTTCTTGCAATAATAACAAAATAAAATAAATACATAAAAAAAGAAAGAGGGAAGGTAATAATACACTTTTTTTTTTTTTACTAAAAATTAAGAAATGAATCTGGGACAGAGAGACATCCTGTCGTGACGCTAAAGCACAAATGTGGGTATTGTTGTCCGCATCCGGTTCTATGGTACCAGTACAGCCGATGGTATCGAGCCGATGGTATCGAGCCGACACCACTGGTATTAGGTCGACACCATTGGTATCGGTGCATCCCGCCGCATGGCGCCGTAAAGATGGCGCCGTGGCAAGAGCTCTGGTGTGTGTTGTCTGGTGCACACCGGGGTAGTCTTGCACAGTTTTTCCTATGTGGTTTTACTGCAAATGGCAAATAAATGAATCTGAATCTGATCCCTAATTATATAATTTCCGCAGGTACAGATTTTAAGGACAGTATATTCAGGATGTCCTGTCCTGACTTTGTACCATCTAGACCCATCATCATGTGTGATGTTAAAGTCAGGTACCTGAGCTTTAGTCCTGTGTGTGTGTGTGTGTGTGTGATGTTAAAGTTACGTACCTGAGCTTTAGTCCTGTGTGTTTCAGGGGGGGAGGGTGGAGTGTCACAGAGTTCTTTGTCCAATCACAAACTGCTCTGAGGCTGCTCTCCCCGTCCATAAGGAAGGACTCTGCTGCAAGACCTGCCGCTGTAAGTACTAGTACTGCATGTATCACAAGTACTACAAATATTACAAGTGCTACAAGTACTGCAAATACTGCATGTACTACAAATACTGCAAATACTGCATGTACTACCAATTCTGCAAGTACTACAAGTACTACAATACTGCAAGTATCGCAAGTACTACAAGTACTACAATACTGCAAGTATCGCAAGTACTGCATATACTACAAGTACTGCAAAAACTGCAAATGCTACAAGTACTGCAAAAACTGCAAATACTACAAGTACTGCATGTATTAAAAGTACAATATAATGTATTCTTGTAACAGCATCATCTCAGAGATTTAACAAAACCATTGAAATCCCCATCAGAGAATCAACAGAGAAAATAGCTGCAGAGGGAAGATAGAACACATCCAGGACTCAGACTGTAGAACGAGGACTGAGGCTGTAGATCCAGGACTCAGACTGTAGAACGAGGACTGAGGCTGTAGATCCAGGACTCAGACTGTAGAACGAGGACTGAGGCTGTAGATCCAGGACTCAGACTGTAGAACGAGGACTGAGGCTGTAGATCCAGGACTCAGATTGTAGAACGAGGACTGAGGCTGTAGATCCAGGACTCAGACTGTAGAACGAGGACTGAGGCTATAGATCCAGGACTCAGACTGTAGAACGAGGACTGAGGCTATAGATCCAGGACTCAGACTGTAGAACGAGGACTGAGGCTATAGATCCAGGACTCGGACTGTAGAACGAGGACTGAGGCTATAGATCCAGGACTCAGACTGTAGAACGAGGACTGAGGCTGTAGATCCAGGACTCAGACTGTAGAACGAGGACTGAGGCTGTAGATCCAGGACTCAGACTGTAGAACGAGGACTGAGGCTGTAGATCCAGGACTCAGACTGTAGAACGAGGACTGAGGCTGTAGATCCAGGACCTCAGCTACAGGACGTGGACAGGTCCGGTGCAGGACTGAAGCACTCCCAGGCGGGTCGGGCGGGGCAGTCCGCAGGTGTAGATGGAGGAGGCCAGGTCCAGAGGTCCCATCATCGTACCATGGAACAGACAATGGGACAACGGGTGAATAGCAATGAACAGACTACAGTCAAAATCCTAATAATTCTAAACAGATACAGTAGGATGGAGGAGAGGATAGTGCTGTTACCATACTTCTCCAGCAGGGGGCTCCCTATGCAGCTTGACTGACAGTCTGAGGAGTTTAGCCTTCCCTGAGTCTTACCTTCCTAGCCATATGCTAAACTAAAGAGGACTGTTTTAGCCTAGCCTAGAGAGTAGGGTTGAAGATGCAGCGGACCGGGTCCCACATACGCAGACTCCAAGACCGGACGAGACCTGACCAGACAACAACCTAACCAAATGCTAAACTGAAGAAGAGTGTTTTAAGCCTGGCCTGAACGACCTGGAAGCTATTTAAAGAGGTTTTAGGGTACGCTGCCAGCAGGGGGCGCTACAGTCAGGCCTTGAGGTGACAAAAGCGTGGATCAGTTTTTCCGCGTCACTTTTAGGAAGAATATTTCTGATTTTAGCGATTTTATGCCGTTTTAGTTGCTTGGTTTATATAAGCCTTAAAGGAGAGTTCTTCGTCAAAAATGACTCGAGGATTCCTCACAGTGTTGCTGGGCAAAACACTGACATTATCAGAGTGATTATCTGGCCGGGTTAGGGGAGTCACGCAGGCGCTTTGGGCCGAGTAGGATCACTTCTGTTTTCTCCGGGTTGAGAAGTAGAAAGTTAAGAGTCATCCACGTTTTAAGGCCCTTTACGTATGCAGCGTATGCTTCCTGCTTCCTGCTACGTATGCTTCCTGCTTCTCGAGAGAGCGGTCGTGTCTCTCTGCTCTGCTTTTGCTTCGCCTTTTAGGCTATATCCACACGAAGACAAAACGCTTATAATTTCAGAAACTTTTTCTGTAAACACGGAGTTAGCTCAGTAAATGTGTGCGTCCATATGAATGTAGTCAATACGCCTGAAAACGCTGTGAAACTATGCCAGACCTGTTGGTGGCGCTGTGACGCAATGACGGGATCAAGCCCAAACTTCCGTGGGCATGCGCGGAATTTTGTAAACAGACAACATGGCGAGTGTGCGAGCTGGTACTACATTAGTATGGACGGACGATGAGGTTGAACTGTTGCTTCGGGTGACACTGGATTACAAAACCAACAAGCTACATTGTTGTTGTCATTATTTTCTGAGTGCGGCGCATGCGTGCTTTAACAAGAGGCGGGGCGATGACGCAAGCGTCTCAGATACATTGCGGAGAGGCAGTAACCACGGAGCGGCATATACGGAGTTTTGAAATCTTTCCACTCTGGGACCTACTTTCAAAAATGTTCGTTTACACCCCCCCAAAACGCCGGCCTCGTATGGACGATACACTGGATTGATAAAGTATTTTTGCGTTTAGGCCTGAGCTTGACTTCGTGTGGACAGGGCCTTAATCTCCCTGAATCATTTTATTTACATTTTTTGTTTCTCCTTTAATCATTTTATTTACAAAACGAGGATTACTCCTTCTACACACTTCAGCTTTGTGGAATTTATCAACATTAGTCATGTCGGGACGGAAGAGACGGAGAAGCGTCTGCGGTGGCTGTTGTGCTTTGGAAAATCAGCTTAAATCTCTTCAAACACGGATATCTATTGTGGAAACAGAAATGGGACTTAACCCGACTCTTCCAATGAGTGAAAATGGGATGAATGGACAGACTGGAAATGTAAGTTATGACGTCATTTCTTTTCCCAAAATCAACAATGAGAATTATTGGAACAATTGTGGAGCCAAACCCAAAGTTGACAAAGCTAAGAATGACAATAGGAGTGAAATAAGGCCACAACTAAATGTTCTGAAGACTTCAAACCGCTTTTTACCCCTTTCTGAAACAACAAAGCTGCTAAAAACTGCAGCGCCTCCACCAAGGACAAACTGTGTCCTTATCGGAGATGGCTCGGTGAAAAATGTAAACATGGAGTCCATGCTCACTGTCTCAGTTCACTCTGCTAAAGTTGCTGAGATAAGAACTCTTCTGCCTAGAGTGTTATCTGAGAACAGTGGTGTGCGTACATTATTGATCCACACGGGGGCGGTAGATATCTATGAGAAGGCAAGCGAGTGTTTTCTCTAGTGTTTCAAAACACCTCTAGTGTTTTGAAAGTTCTGGACACCATCGCTCCTGTGAAGGTTAAAATAGTGAAAAATAAGCAGAAGGCGCCGTGGGCTAAAGCAGACTCGGTCAGAGCACAAAAGAGAGAGTGCCGGAGGGCCGAGCGGAAGTGGCGCAAGTCCAACCTCCAGGTTGATTACAAGATCTTCAAAGATAAGTTGTGCGAGTTTAACCAGGTGCTACGTAGTACAAGAGAAAGGTATTTTTCTGAAATGATTGAAGGCTGCAGCAACAATCTGCGTGTTCTGTTTTCAACAGTTAATAGATTAACAAACCCCCCTGTTCAAATGCCATTAGAGCTAACTTCCAAACGTAAATGTAATGAGTTTGCACATTTTTTCAATGACAAGGTTCAAGGCATCAAAAACGCCATTGTCTCCAATCCACAGATAACAATCCAACAGCCAGAAAGGCTCTTTGAGCTAACTTACTTTGCACCTGTAAATGATCAAACTGTCCAAGAGATAATCTCCAGTTTGAGCTCCTCCACATGCAGCCTGGATGTACTACCCACTAGATTTCTAAAGTCTGTT